AACAGCGACACGAGAATTTATATATATTAGATTGATATAAAAGTTAATTTCAATCCAAAAACTAAAAGTAACTACAAGGGTAGTAATTTTACGAGAGGAATTGGGTTTAGAACAGTTCACCGTGATGATAAAATGCCACTTCATATTTTTTTATTTTATGGATTTAGAGCCCATTACTCAATTATTATTTTTGCCAAGGTTGAGAAGTACCTACTTAACCAAGAAAAAATACAAAATCATAAATCAGCACATTGCACTGCCGCTCTGAGGAATACCGTGTATTTTTTTTGCTCGGGGAGTTTACCCCTACATGCTTCATTAGGATTTAATTTTTGTTTCGGGTATTTATTTATTTATTATTTCCTTTTTTCATATAATAATCTTGACAAAAAAAATATTTAAATTTTTTTATATGATAATGATAATACATATTGCAAATATATGTTTTAAACGTAAATTTTGCGTTGAACACGATGAAAGAAAAAGAAATGGTAAAATTAAATTATCATATAATAAAATTAAATATTTTTTTTAAACTATATTTTTCGTCATCTTTCTTAGTAGCCATTATTTTAAACTAAATACGCAGAATAGTTCACCCAGTAATGTTTATTAGTGACTAGCAAACCCAGCGAACTCCGTTTCGCCACCAGATAGCTTCGTTTTATGTAACATTTCGTTTTGTGATTAAAAGAAAACGATTTTTTTTTAATTTTTCCTGAATTTTCTTTGCTATAAACCTCACGGAGCCAGAGACCTTTCCAACGAATGCAAAACCGTGGAAATCGGTTCGTGCGTTCTGGAGTTATAGCGTCAGGAAGGAAAACCCGACTTATTTTTATATAGTAGATTAATTAAACAAAAGAATAACAGTATTGCCCAGCGCGCGATTCAACAATGAATGAATAAAAGTGAGCAACTCACTCGCTAGCACACGATCTGTGTACGGAAGAGACGGTTAAACTGGTTTTAGCTGAAGCATAAATTTTAAAGTAACGATGACTAACGCTAATAAATTACAGTGGAAGAAAAGAGTAAGCACTGATAATCGATTTTAGCTGAAGTAATTTATAAAGCGTCAAATAAAAGTTATTCAGTAAAAACAAATTAAAATTCGGTATCTTCTTTTACTTGCCTCAAATATAACGCAAATATTCTATATATATTTTTTTTCAAAAAGCGACAGGTTTTTTAGTTTTTACTTCATCTAGTAAAATTAAAATATCTGGTAAAATTCAAACAGTCAAAGCTAATTACCGTGGGATAACTTATTTTAGTGGAATAATCTCACAGGATATTTACTCTAAGTGTCTACATAAAAAATGAGTTTAAATCCGAAACTTGGTTTCAACAATTAATACGTTTACAAATTTAAGTGTTTTGAATGGGTTTATTAGGGTTTAAATCAAGAATTTTGGAAATAATTTGCAGTTATTTTGTTTATTTATTAGCTATTTCAGGAAGTATGCGTCGTAGAGCATAATGGGTTTTACCTGTAGATGCAGCTTAATGAGACGGGTCGATTGGTATTATAAAAGTTCAGTAGCGGAAAAGTGCAGATAATCGGTTTTGGCACTAAGGGGACGATTTACTAATAATAAACTTCTCGCTTTCTAAACGCGCTTTGTTCGTTATTTTGAAAATGTACATATTAATAATTATAATTAGTAATAATATTTAATAGGAGTAACAATTAATTAATTCTTCATTAATAATTCTTATTAAAAAATAATGAACAAAAATATTTACAAAGAATAAAGACATTTATTTAAATTCAAAATAGGGAACCCTTCTACTACAAAGGCGATGTTCTTGGCTGTATCGTTTCGGTGGTAATTTTTTACCATTTCGGTAGACAATTTTCATTTCAGTGGACTGCCGAAAACTCATCCTTAAATATTTCAGTAATTGGTGATTGTTGAATTTTCCCCGTAGGATCGTTTAAAAATGGAAAAAAAACCATAAACAATATTTTTTCTTTTTTTATTTTGCACCTTTAATTGCATTTTGTGTAAAAACTATGGGAGATACGCGAAAATAAGTTGATACCTTTTTTGTAGGAAATTAAATTTTCTACAACTTTGTGCTACAAATTTTTTCTATTTTTCCAGCCAGTCGCGAGATATTGACGAAAAACTCGTTTTTGCACCATTTCGCATTTTTTTTTCACCCTTTGCCGTCAATGCAGCACCCTGCAATTTTAGTATATTAATCTACGAACCCTTGCGGAAATTTTCGCGTTGGTTGCAGGTGATCAACTCAAAATGGCAAAGTTAAGCCTTCATTGACTGGACTATAGAGTGAACTCCTTTGTTATATTGCGTTGTCAAAACCTATTGAGTGATGTTGTCCGAAGGAAACAAAACTCTGTTATTATCAAAATCGCTATTCTTTATGTGTGCCTAATACATGTGATTTTCTTTAAATTATCTTTAATTTGCCTACTGCCCAGTTAGCTCCTGCTAGAAACGTACTGTGCTGCTGTAGAAACTCAGCAAAGGCTGTTATTTCTCCCTATAATATATACAGAGTCGTCAAATTGAAAAATGATTTCATTATGGGATAACTCATGAAGTCATTTTCCATTACAAATGTAAATGACAAAAAAAATATCACTATAACATAAAAAAATATAATATAAAAAACTGATTTAACAAAGTTCAGTACTAAGTCAGAAAATCAACTCAAAATCTGATAAGCTTTTTAATTAATATACTTTTTAAATCATCCAAATTGGTTCATTCGTTGCGATTTTATAACTAAATTTATGGCCAATATTCAACAGCGCGTAGGCCGAAATGTGTGACGTCACAGAGCTCGATCCGCTCGAAGTCGCGCTATACTATACTTGCACTATACCCACGCCACCATTCACTACAAAGTGCTCAATGCAGCTGGGTTATCTTGTTTATGTCGTTAAATTCAATAGGTAATGAAGTCAAAAGTAGTATATTACGAACCAACACCAAATAATATTTTCAGTTTTTGCAGCAGTTAAATATTCTGTGAATATTTCAAGCGTCTAGCTTTGCCGTTATTAATAGAGAGCAAAAAATACGTTTGTTGTATTGGAGTAACCCTCAAATATTTATTTTATTCTATTTTTAATATTTGTTGTTGTATCCGCAATAGAAATGCACCATCTGTGAAAATTACAACTGTCTAGCGGGTCAATTATGCTTTAGTCAGCTTTAGTGATAAAATCCTAATGTGATGTCAATATGATGTTGATACCAAGTTGACATTGTTTTTAAATGGTATTATGAGACATTCGTAAGTCACATCAAGATCATATCAATATCTTATCCTATATCACATTTTTGACGTTTATGCGATACTGTTTTAAGTCAAAAAGTTGAACGTAATACGCATTTAAGTTAATATCAAGTCCATATCATTAAGTTTTAAAGAGTTCATCTTAATACGCTTAAGTTGATGTCTAGTTGATGTCATTTTGATATCGCATTTTTCGGAGAGCATAATACGTAATGTGAAATTGACCCGTGGAAATTGATATCAAAACAATATCATAATTAGCGAGCATAATTGACCTGTAGCTATCACGGTTCATGAGATACAGCCTGGTGACAGACAGGCGGACAACGGAGCCTTAGTAATAGGGTCCCGTTATTAACTTTTTTGTAAGAAACCGTACATAACGACATTGAAGGGACCATATAACTTCGGACGTTATGTCCGATAGTTGTTATAAGCAATATACACAAGTACTCATATTATTGAAATATTTATGTAGGTATGTTTGTATCTAGTATGGTTATAGATAATGAATATAAGCTATCTGTCAACAAAATATCGAAAGGAAAAAGAAATAAAAAAAGTACCATGACAAAAATGAAGTACCTACAGTATATTTTGTTTTTCTGGAAGAAGTCAATGGTTGGTAGTACAGTCAATCTGTAGGTTGAGTGGTGAAAAAAAACCTAAAGGGTAAGTCTTGTTTTTTCTGTTGCCAAATGACGTCAGTAAGCCACCTTGGCGATGGGCATGTTCAACTCGTAGGCGTTTTTTGAAAAACTCAAAAAAAACCGTCAAAAAATTTTTGAAACGCATCTTTCTTGTTTTTTATGCATTTTAGAAACTTTTTTTTCGACCATAATTGTAGAGGGCGTTGAGTACTACAATTTATGTCATTGTTGCAATCTCGTACAACAAAAAATGCGCATTGTAGGTGGCGCTAAAGTCTCAAAAAAAGTGTTTTTTCACTTTTTCACCCTGAAAATTTTTCCAACAACTTTTGTATAAACAATTTTTTTGTATTACTTACCGTTTTCAAGTTATAAATTTCGCAGGTATGAAAAATCCAATAGAGCGGTTTTGGGCAGTTCAAGTACATATTTGCAGTGCACATTTCAATGTACGTTTTTACTATTTTTTTTTCAATAAAGTTAAAAATTTAAAAAAAACTATCTTTTTTTGTTTTTCAATCATGAAAAAAAATAAAAAATAGTAAAACGTACATTGAAATGTGCACTGCAAATGTGTACTTGAACTGCCCAAAACCGCTCTATTGGATTTTTCATACCTGCGCAATTTATAACTTCAAAACGGTAAGTAATACAAAAAAAATTGTTTATACAAAAGTTGTCGGTAATTATGTACGAAACAACTTTGCCATTTAAAGTTTTCCATTAAAATTATATTTACAGGTGAAAAAACACTTTTTTTGAGACTTTAGTGCCACCTACAATGCGCATATTTTGTTGTACGAGATTGCAACAATGACATAAATTGTAGTACTCAACGCCCTCTACAATTATGGTCGAAAAAAAAGTTTCTAAAATGCATACAAAACAAGAAAAATGCGTTTCAAAAATTTTTTGAAGGTTTTTTTGAGTTTATCAAAAAACGCCTACGAGTTGAACATGCCCATCGCCAAGGTGGCTTACTGACGTCATTTGGCAACAGAAAAAAAAAGACACCCTTTAGGTTTTTTTTTCACTGAAACAATTTTTTCGACAGATTGACTGTACTATGGTCGTTGTATCCGATGAATATCAATATAAACTTTATCAATATTCATTGGCTATAAGTCGTTATAAGCGGTATTTCGCTATATCCGGTGTTGTTATAGGCGGTTTGTTTACTTTAGGATTTATACAGAATTTCTGCTGGGGACTTGCTAATTGTCGTTATAAACGATGACGTTATCAGAGGCGGCCTTACCCGGCGGCGAGGTCCTTTGTCCTTCGTGAAAAGTATGTGATGCGAAAGTAGGTCTGGTTGTTTGGTTTAGGTATTTGTCATGTTTAAGGAAAAATGCAAAAAATATACAAATAAATCAAATTTGAATTTTAAAATATTTTACATTGAAAGATTCACAAAATTAACAAATACAGAGATGATAAATTTTTAAAATTGACGTTTGCGGCTTTTCCTAAGACTAGAACTTTAATTAAAGCACAATAATCTAATGAATAAGCTACGTCATTTTCGATTGAAAGAATAGCGAGGGCTGAAAGCCGATCTTGTGTCATTGAATTCCTCAAATATGTTTTAATAATTTTAAGCCTCGAAAAACTAGTTTCAGCAGACGCAACTGTAACAGGTGTGGTAGCAATAATTCTCAGGACTATTTCGATAGTGGGGTAAACTTCAGTTATTTTTTTTTCTTTTATGTATTTTAGCACCGAGATAATGTCATCGTTTCCTTCATACACACGGATGAACATATTCAGTTCTTCGTACAATTCATGTCCATCAATGTCACATGATTCTCCTATCATAGATATTTGCAAGTCGCTGCATTGCTTTAAAAGTTCACTATCATTAATTTCCTTTAATTTTTTTATATTATGCATGAAACCAAATATGCTCTCATGATGTTTAAGAGCCTCAAACCTAGGATAACAGCTTACGCGCACATTGTCGACAATGACATAAAAATAGTTTATTTTGAAAATTTCTTCCGCTTTCAATTCATTAGCTTCATCTTCCCCTTCATAATCAAAATGCCTTTTTTACGTCGTCTTCTAACTTCTTTGAACTGTCTGTCAATATCATTTTTCTCGGCTATTTCTCTTGCTGTTACAAGGGATGACTGAAAACCATTTTCTCGATAATTATCGAGCCAATTTGTGAATGCGTCTAGGTGTTGTATAGCCACATCTAAGTGCATGTTTTCGCTTTTCCACATTTTACTTATAACATTTATCTTTGTAAGAATGTCATACCATATGACAAGTGCAACTACAAATTCGTAGGTAGTTAGTTCCTTTTCTATAGAATGACATTCACTGACCAACTGACAATCTGTTGTGTTTTCTGCTAAATCCTTTAAAGCATCACATATATCACTTAGTTGGTATTTAACGGCCTTCACCGATGCTACCCTGCACTCCCATCTAGTTTCAGAAAGTAGTTTTAGCGACAATGATTTTACATGAGCATTTAAAATAGCCCACCTCTGACTTGAGCCGGCAAACAGAGTGTACAACCTTTGTAGCAAACCAAAAAAAGATTTTGCTTGGACAGAAGACGATGCTGCATCTCCTTGGATGAGATTCCAGCTATGACTTCCACAAGGTGAAAAATAAGCAAGTGGATTAATTTCAAGAATACGTTTTTGGACACCACTTTTTTCACCACGCATATTGGCACCATTATCATATCCTTGGCCTCTGCAATTTTGCAATGATATACCTAACTGTTCTAATTCTGTGATTATATAATTAGTCAAACTCTCAGCTGTGGTTTTTTCGACGGCTAAGAAGCCAATAAAATGTTCTTCAATTTCAGCTGTATTTGTATTAAAAAATCTTATAATAATTGAAAGTTGCTCAACACGAGAAACGTCGCGAGTACAATCAAGAATAATCGAGTACTATTTATTATTTACTATTTTTTCAACAATTTGAGTCTTCACGTGACTTGCCATTATTTGTATGAGCTCATTTTGAATACTTTTTCCGATATAGTGGTCATTAATCGTCTTATCCTTTACTTCTTTTAGGTGAAGTCTCAGCACGGGATCAAATCGGGCTATTAACTTTACTAAATCCATAAAGTTGCCACTTGTTTCACTCGAATCTGAGTCAGTTGTTAACTTCTCTCTATGACCCCTGAAGGCCAAATTGTGAGATGCTAAAAAATTTATAATTGCGAGCAACCGTTCTAAAATATCTCTCCAACGTTGCCTTTCTTGTTCAATTTGTGACTGGGCCAAGAAGTCAATAGTAGAACAGCCTTTTAAACTATTCTCTAAATTAATCCATTTCAACATAGAATATTTGTGCTGTCGACTAGATTCGTAAGACTTTAGGTAATCACCCAAGTGTTTCCAATCACATACTCCTTCACTTGATCCAATCTTTGTATTTTCCAAGCCGAATATTCGACACGGAAAGCAGTAAACGGCATCCTTTGTTTGTGAATAAATCATCCAGCGCCTTTGAAGCTTTTCACCGTTAACTAATATCTTATTATAATTATATTCGCTGAATCGCCGTCCATTATCATTTACAGGAAATAAATCAACTTTAACCCGGATTGGACCTTTTAATACAATCTCAGTTCGGTCTACATCAGTAATTGTTATGGGCCAGAAAGCGGGGTCATTCTGAGGATTCAGATTTTCCGTTCCAGCAGTCATGGATGTAGACATAGACTCGGGCTCAGATTCGTGTTCTTGACTGGATAGCGTTGATGGTGGCATCGGTGACCTAAGAGACAATGATGTAGTTAATTCATCATCATCCTCGCTGTTTTTACTTAATGACGGCGGCGGCACCCATGATGATGTGGAAGGAATGTTTTCAGCTGCATCAGGATAAGAGTCACTTTTAGTCAATAAATGTTTTGTAGAGGTTTCTTTATCATCACTTTTTATATATTTATATAAAGATCCACGCAGATTTTGTTCTACCTGCTTTCTTTTGATAGCTCGTTTCCTTTTTGAACTCCCTGAATCAAATTTTCTACCGGCATCACGATCACGTGAACTCATTTCGTAAATCTTGCTTTTTCCGCTCAAACAGCCAGAAATTTTTTTTTAAGTACCACACAGTTTTTTACACTTTTTCATTTTTCTCAATACTTTCAATACTATAAGAACGTAATATCCAATAAAATTGAAAGATATGTACGGTAACGATTTTGTAACTCATACTTTATGTAAAATAATTCCAAGGTGACAAAAGTTAACAAATGAAATGAAACACGGGGATTTCCCGAGCGATAGACGAGCAGAACATTATGTCCCGACTCACGAGTGTTATGCGATTAAAAAACCGATCTTCAAGTGTTTCGAGGCGCGATATTCAAGTACTACACTTAGAGATTTTTTTCGATAACCGCAAGTACAAAACGTGACAAGTCCGCGATTCGAAGTTAACAAGTGAAAATGTACGTAGATCGCAGTTAATTTTGGGTTATGATAAGTAAAACTGTACTAAGATTAAGAAAAATATAGAATAAAGTACATCTTATGGTTACAATAACCCAAAGTTTATTTCTGTTTACACACATTTGTACTTATAAACTTCGAATCGCGGACTTGTAATTATTTGCACTTACGGCTATCGAAAAAAATCTCTCAGTGCACTGTAAATTTTAGCGTCTTATTTTAAAACATTAAAATCGTTTTAATATGACGTCACCCATTTGATTAACATTGTCTCGATTTTAAAACGTTTTTAGTGGTGTACATAATGAATTTTTCAATTATGTTTTGAATGAATGAATTAGTTAACTAACTTAATTTTAATTTACGGTTATGTATAACCTTAATAAGTAATTAAGGATCAAATTCAAATTTTTAAATAAATTAAAATAGTTAAAAAACAAAAAAAATTTAAAATTTGCCTGGGTTGTTGCGCGAGGCCCTTGTAGGAGCGAGGCCCCGGGCGATCGCCCTGTTCGCCACCCCCTAAGGCCGCCACTGGACGTTATATTCGGTTTTTACTGTATATATATATATATATGTATATATTTAATATTATATTTATTTTTATTATTTAAGTAAAACATAATTAAAAAACAAAAAACCACAGGTGTGGTGTATATATATCTATTATAAAAAAATATTTATTTTGTCCTTAAATATCAATTACTTATGACGGTAAATGATAATATTGTTTATCCTCTTCAGATATAATATTAGGAGCACCAGACAATGGATCTTTTCCTTCATGTGACTTTGGGAATGCTATCACATCCCTGATAGAATCTGCTTTACAAGCTAATGCTACCAATCTATCAATACCCAATGCCACTCCGGCATGAGGAGGGCAACCACTCTTTAGGGCATTTAAAAAATGTGTTAAAGAATGTGGTTCAATGTCCAACATTTTAAGCAACTTTTTCTGTAGTTCTACATCATGTACACGAACAGACCCCCCGCCAACTTCACATCCATTTATGACTAGATCATATGCCAGTGATCTTACTTTGAGGGGCTCCCTGTCTAATAAATGTTTATCTTCAGGATGAGGTGCAGTAAAAGGATGATGACAAGTCTGTAAGCCTTTTTCACTTTTTAAAAACAAAGGAAAATCAACAACCCACAACGGTACGAGACCTACTTCAGTTTCTAACAAACCTTTAGCTTGCAACAGGGAAGCAATTATTTCTCTTATTTCTCCTAAACATAAACATGTATTTTCATTATTTCCTATACAAACAATAACTGACATGTCTCTATTTATTTCCGTCTTGTATATAAAATCATCACCAAATTCTTTTTTTATACTTTCATTTAAAACAACTTTTACTGAATTTTTCTTAGCTATTTCTCTAACAATTTCTTTGTATTTTGATGTCAATTTTCCTAATTGAGTAGTGTAAGGTAAAGCATATGCTCTGAAACACGGTTCCGTAGATATGTCACATAATAGATGTGAAATATTTTTAAATTGTAAATCATAAGTCATGTTTGGTTTATCTGTTCCATAATTTTCCAAAGCATACTTGTATGTCATTCTTTTGAATGGTGGTCTTGGTATATTTTGAGATAAACTATGATATAACAATTGTTCAATTAAAGTAAGAACTCCATCCATTTTAGCAAATGAAAGTTCAATATCCAACTGAGTGAATTCAGGTTGTCTATCTGATCGTGTTGTTTCATCTCGATAGCACCTGGCTACTTGAAAATATCTATCAATACCACCAACCATCAACATTTGTTTGAATTGCTGAGGGCTTTGAACTAAGGAATAAAACAGTCCAGAATGATGTGTGGGTACAACAAACTCTCTAGCCCCGCCAGGTGTCCGGCAAAATAATGTAGGAGTTTCAACTTCAATAAAACCACTGTCTTCTACAAGATATCTCCTCATGCTATGCAGCATCTGTGACCTTTTTCTTAAATTACTCTGCATATCTGGAAAACGTAAATCGATATACCGATGCTGCAACCTCAACTGTTCCTTAGGTTTCTGGTAATCCCTCAAATTAAATGGTAGCTTATCAACTGTGTTTAATACTTGTAAATCTTCAATAATTACTTCAATCTGTCCAGTAGGCATTTTGGAGTTACTCATTTTCATTGGTCTCATCGCCACTGTTCCATTAATTTTTACTACTGTCTCTAAAGGTATATCTGAAAGATTTTCATTTTCTTTAACAACACATTGGGTTATGCCATAAGCATCTCGTAATAATAGAAATTTTGACAGTCTTTGATATTGAACCCAACCACATAAGACTACATTTTGCCCAATGTGTCGAGGTCGCAATTCACCACAAGTGTGTGATCTATATGTAAAATTGTTCCACACATCTTTACATTGTTGCTTTTCTATTTTGTTTTCATGATGAATTCGTCTTGATAAAAGATTTGTAAAGTTCGAGCACACATAGTTTGGTTGTAATAAACTATTTATAAGTGGTACCAGTTGACTTGCTCTGTAAACTTTTCGGCATGATGTAAAATATCTCGGCCACATTATTCAAGTCGTTCCTCCGCGAAAATAAAATCCAAAACTTGTCTGGCATGGGCTAGCGCTCTCTTCATTTAGTGTGAACTAACATTTATATTCATTTTTTGGTAATTATCACGATCTGCGATTAAACGGCTCAAAAGTACTGTAATATCCACAATTTACATTCGATTTGTTTATCATGTGCAGCAGTGTGCAGCTGATGTTTCGAGTTAAAAATAGTCTTGTCTTTGATTGAGCTCATAGACATTTTATTTTGTTCTTTTCGTTTTTGATGGTTTTAGTTTTTTATTTAGTGAGTGAGTGAAAAAAGCGAGTGTGCTTATGACCACACGACTAAAGTGAAACTTCTTTAGCTCCAATGATCTGAAAATCATAAACTTAACCTTTGATGATTTGTTGATAGAAAAAAACCACCAATCCGCGCTGGGTCCGTTATCACCCACCAATCCGCGCTGGGTACGTTATCGCTAGTGTTGCCAGGTGTCCCGATTTGCGAGGGACGTCCGTCCCGATTTTCAGAGGTCTGGGGACGCGTCCCGATTTGTACCTGATAGGGACGCTAAATGTCCCGATTAATGAAAAAAATTAATTTAGGTAATTAATGGTGTCAATACTAGCGTGATTCTCTAAACTTAAAACTAAATTTAACATCCATCTCTCCTTTTCATTCTGTTTATAGGATGACAAGGATACACTGTTGTCAAATTTCAGTATAGATTTAGAGAATCGTGCCAAAATCGCCACTAATATAATACTATACTTGCACTAGTAGTTTAAAACGCAATTAATTAAACCCAGACTTCAAAGCTCCTTGTTTTTTGTTTACTGTCCCGATCTGCAACCCTAAATCCCGATTGTTTTGACCACATGTACCGATTTAAAACAAATCGGACCTGGCAACACTAGTAATCACCCACCAATCCACACAGGGTCCGTTATCACCCACCAATCCGCGCCGGGTCGGTTATCACCCACCCATCCGCACTGGGTCCGTTATCACCCACCAATCCGCGCTGGGTCCGTTATCACCCACCAATCCCCACTGGTTCCATTGTTATCCACCAATCCGCTCTGGGTCCGTTATCCCCCTCCAATCCCCACTAGGTCCATTATCACGCAACCAAATTTGCTGCACCCATTAGTTGGCCATTGTTAATGCTGCTATAAAAAACCGGCATTATCGTTGATAAATATCGTCAAAAATAATCTCCGAAACGAAAGGCTCACCATAACATGAGAGTGTGAAGTGTCTTAAAAAATCATGGAAGTGCACAAAGTTAAAAACAGCTTGAATTATTTAATTCTTAAAATGTGTATTTACTTCTAGATATTTTGAATTAAGCTTAAATTAACAAATATAAACCTTTTTTTTTAATGACTGGGTTTTTTCTTATAAAAAACCTATTTAAAGAGAATGACAAGGATACACTGGGCCCAATTCTGGCGTGCCAACTTATATCTAAAACTAACTAAAATTAGATATAGAGTTGTCAAATTCAATTTGGTATTCTGTAATGACACACTATCTCTAAATTTAAAATTGACGTCGCTAAGTTATTCAACTTAGATTTAGATGATAAAATGGTATTCTGAAACGTGTTCTAAATGTCATATTTTCTCTAAAATTAGAAATGTCACACTTTAAGAAGGACCTACGGAGGTCCTCTCTAAATTTAAATGTGTATAATCTGGCCAAATAGTAGGTAAATGATTGATGTACTTAAGTTTTGAACTTGTTGTTAAGGTTGGTTATGGGTTTATTTCGTTAAAATAAGCCATAAATTTTATACAATAATGAACGACGACGGTGATAATAATACCTATATTAGCTAGATCTTTTATTTTTTTTAAAAGGTAGATAAGTCTATGTTACGATGCGGATTTATTATGAGCCTATTAATGTGTCATGAGCCACCACGCAGGCCTAATGCGGCTTAGTGGGGGCTAATGACTGCAGATGCAGCGAGCAACAACATAGAAACTCGATTTAATACATTTTTGGTTGGTCACCCATCCTAAGATCGGCCATTGTGGAAGTTACTTAACGTTCACGATCGCAGAACGAACGCGTTACACTTGCGCTATTGTGGTCCTTCGTAGGTAATGTATACGTATATCTTGTATAAAACACTAAATAATTTAAGGTAAAATCTTTTTTAACATAAATAAAAATCCACTTCATAGGTATAAAAAACAAGCTAAGACATCTATGTGCTAATTCCTTAAGTAATACCTACAGTCCCCACTCATATCTAAAGTACATAGTCAAATAATTAACAAATAATAGGTACCTATGGTGTCAGCGATATGCATTCCAATCACCAATTCCAATCCAAATGTTATTTTGACTTTAAATGTAGGTACTTAAAACTTTAATGTATTTTGTTCCTTTGTTTTCAGTGGTTTAGTTTTTATGAAGCCATTTTTAATATTTGTTGGAAATGTTTTTATTTCCCACTTTTTAAAAGCTAATTATAACCTAAGACGAAATAAGTTCCTACGGTTTGTGCTTTTATACATCCGAAAGTACTTGGCATTCACCAAATGATTAATTGGGATTTGGGACGATATCGCCAAAACTGATAGAAACAAAAAAAGATAAAAATAGGTTACGTTTCGTTACATCTCGGATTCTAAAATAAATGAGTACAAAATCTTCACAAAACAGCCGAAGGGATAATAACAACCTCTGACCGAAACCGAAATTTATAACCGTAGGTTCCTAGGAAATTTTCAAGGATGATATACGTTAGACCGTGTCGGCCGTAGCAGAGTTAACTAATCATCATCATCAGGCTATTAATGTCTCCATTGCTGGGGCACAGGCCTTCCCTATGAATGGAATAGGGAGATTGGGCCATGACCCACCACGCGGGTCCAGTGCGGATTGACGGGTGCTAACGACTGCAGATGCAGCCGGGACCAACGGCTTAACATGCCTTCAGAAGTACGGAGAAACTCCAGATAGAAGATTTTTGGTCACCCATCCAATGACCGACAACTGCAAAAGTTGCTTAACTTCAACCTGCGCCATCGAGCTCCTCTAGTTAACTAATATTAAATAATATATTTTTTAAGGATTATGGATACATTCAAGCTATTCCGTGCGGTAACCCACTGACAACCAAGCACCAAATGAAACGCTCCAACGCTCGGAAAAAACTTGGTCCCGCTTCGGCTCGGCCACGGCCCGTTGCATGAATACAGCGCGCCGGCGCGGTGCCGCCGGCCAATCGTAGTGATACCTCAGACAAAACAGAAACGTTTTCCTCGGACGAGTACACTTACCCTGTTTACTTTATCTGAATGATTAGACTGCATCACGGCGCAACGGTACCTACCTAATTGCTCGGTCGAGGCACGTCTTTGTAATTTACAGGTACGGGACCGTCTCGGTGACCGTGTTACGGCTGAAGCTCGGCTCGGACTCGACACGGTCTATCGTCACTGATCATCCTTAATAGATTTGTTAGGTAGCTACCAAAATCTAGTCGGTACCTATATTTAAATTTAATTTTAAAAGTGGCGGCTTTCCCCATCCTTTTGCCAAAAAAAACTTAGGCATGCTCTAAGAAAAAATATGATTCCTAAAGTTCTCCCCGCAGATTTAATTTTTCCAAGTTTATATTTTTCACCAAAACAAGGATAAACACTCCCAATCTAGAAACCCTAAGTACCACAGAGTAGGCAAGTATTCACTCTTTAATATTGATTCATAATATCTCATACAGTAAAATAACAAACTTATACCAATTTCTGTACTACCCACCTTTAGTAAAATTTTTGAAAAAATCATGTTAGATCAAATGCAATCACATTTTAATAAATATAATATACTTCACTGTAAACAATTTGGTTTTACACGGGGTCGTTCAACAACCGATGCCGGTGTTGAACTTATACAACAAATTTTTGACGCCTGGGAGAACTCGCAGGACGCTCTAGGTGTGTTTTGCGACTTGTCCAAGGCTTTTGATTGCGTTTTTCATGACACATTACTCAGGAAACTCCACCACTATGGATTTAGAGATACTGATCTGGATCTTATTGCATCATACCTGAGGGATAGGATTCAGAGGGTTGACATTAATGGTAATAAGTCTCCGGGTTCGCCGGTTAAGATGGGTGTTCCGCAGGGCTCAATCCTAGGTCCTTTCTTATTTTTAATTTATATTAATGACTTACCTTACTATGTAAGAGATAACCATGAGATAGTATTGTTTGCGGATGATACATCACTTTTATTTAAACTCAAACGCAATGAAAAAGTTATTGACGACGTGAACAATAGTATCTCTAAGATAGTCCACTGGTTCAATGTTAACAATTTATTACTTAATGAAGAAAAAACGAAATGTATGAAATTTGTATTACCTAATGTAAAACAGGTAAAAACCAGTGTGAATGTAAAGGATAGGAATGTGGGCCTTGTAGACACCACAGTATTCTTAGGGATAACTTTAGATTCTAAGCTTCAATGGGGCCCACATATTGATAAATTGTCAAATAGACTTAGCTCTGCAGCATATGCCGTAATGAAGATACGCCAGTTAACGGATGTAGATACGGCCAGATTAGTGTACTTTAGTTATTTCCATAGTGTAATGTCGTACGGAATTTTATTGTGGGGAAATGCCGCCGACATTCAAACTATTTTTGTGCTGCAGAAGAGAGCTATTCGATCAATTTATAATCTTAAAGTTAAAGAATCATTAAGAGATAAGTTTAAAGAATTTGGAATAATGACGGTCGCATCACAATACATATATGAAAATTTATTACTTGTAAGAAAAAATATTAATTTGTTTCTTAAAAACAGTGACACAATTAATACAATTAATACAAGAAACAAAAATAAACTAACTTTACCTGCTACTAGGCTTCACAAAATTAATAATTCATTTAAAGGTCTTTGTGTTCGCTTATACAATAAAGTCCCAAGCAATATCCAAGAGTTAGCCATAAATAAATTTAAAGATATTATAAAAAAAACACTTATTAAAAAAGCTTATTACAAAGTGTCTGATTATATTACAGACAAAAATGCTTGGGTTTGAACTGTTCCAATCATTCCAACAGGTTTTCTATATTAAATAAATCATAATTGTATTGACGTTGTAACAACATAATGATTTGTAAATGTTGTTACATAGACTTTTAATGTTGTGGAGTTTTTTTCGCTCGTTTTTCTCCGCAGCTAAAAAATATGTCCA